TGTGTGTGTGTGTGTGTGTGTGTGTGTGTGTGTGTGTGTGTGTGTGTGTGTGCGCGTGTGTGCCGCGCGTGTGTTTGCGCGCCGTGTGTGCCGCGTGTGTGTGCCACACGATTGTGTGTGTGTGTGTGTGTGTGTGTGTGTGTGTGTGTGTGTGTGTGTGTGTGTGTGTGTGTGTGTGTGTGCCCGTGGTCACGGGGATGGGGCGACCCCTCCCCCACCAACCAATCAATCAATCAATCAATCAATCAATCAATAAAAAAAAAAAGAAAAAAGAAAAAAAAGATGGAATAAAGAAATACAGAAATCAATTAATCAATCAATCAATCGATCGCGGGGGGGGAGACCCCTCCCCCACCAATCAATCAATCAATCAATCAATCAATCAATCAATCAATCAATGGAAAAAAAAAAATCGACGAAACTAATCAATCAATCAATCAATCAAAGGCGGGGCGGGGCAACCCCGCCCCCACCAATCAATCAATCAATCAACGGAAAAAAAAAGAAAAAGAAAAAAACGCATTTTTTTTTTTTCAATTTCGTTTGATTTCGCCCAACCCCCCCCATCCAAAAGTTGATCTTTTTCGTTTTTTTTTTGTGTGGTGTGGTGGGGCCGGGGATGCACCGCCACGTGGCGTCTTCCGAATGTCGAAAGCTGCTCCCCTGCGGCCGCCACGTGGCTCCAAAGCCGCGCGTCCGCGGGGTCAGCAGACTGGCCGCGTCCGCGAACTTGGCCACGGATGGCCGCCGCCGAGGGGGATTCGTAGCCTTCAAAGTCGCCTCTCGCTGACTAACCAAAACAACCGGTGAATCAGATGCGTTTGCTGCCACTTTACCCTTCAGGGTAGATGCCCCCGCCGCTGCATCCATTTTCTTTTGCAGATTTGTTCCACGTTTCCGACAAGTTTGAAGGCGCTCCATCTCCTCCTTCACAGGTTCCAGCTCCTTTTCTGATTCCTTGCGAGCGTTCACCTCCCAAAGTCTCATCTCCTTCAGGAGTTCCACCTCTTGTCTATTCCGATCAACCACTTCCTTCAGATGTTGATCCATCCTCCCCGTAGCCCGTGGAGATACCATTGGGGTCATCCTTGGTCAAACACGAGCCTCGGTAAGCGGAATCTGACCGACAACAACGGACCCTCGCTTATTCCCTGGTCTTAAAGCTTCGTTACGCCACACTTCAGCATTTGCCTCAGCCGCCTCACACTGCTTCGGGAGAGCCACAATAAGTTCCTCAAGAGTGGCCAAATGCTTCTCGGTCGCCGTCTTAACCGCTTCCTGCTCACGTCGAAGGTGAATGATTTCTTCAGACTCACTGAGCGGTTGGCTACCCGTTGTGGAGGTACTAGCAACATCCCGTGCGTTCTGTAACTCATCAATCCGCAGCTTCAACAGGCGAAGTTCATCCGATTCCACATTCTTCTTCTTCTCAACAACTGGTTCCATCTGTTCACATAGCATTTCGATCTGAGCCCTAATCTTCGCAATTTCCTCAGTTTTCGCAGTCTTCTTCCCATCAACAGCCTCCCGCGGGACATCCAACTTCGATGCCAACTCCTGCCGAATGGACAGCTGGAATTCTTCACGATTCTTCTTCTCCAGTTCTCTTCGTTCTTCATCCTTGCGTTCTCATTTCTTCCGTTCCTCCTCCTCACGTGCCGCACGTTCTCTCGCCTCATCAGCCTGGTGTTTACTATCAATCCGTTTCCCTAACCCTCCGCCACCGCCATTATCCTGACTCAAATAATACGGAGCAGATGTACCAACATGAGAGGTAGGAGCAGGTGGATAGGTAGCAATCGGTTGGGCGGTTACAATGGCATTACTAGGCTGTTGACCATTATTAACACGAGGGAGGGGACATAACCGTGCAATATGACCAAATTGACCACAATTATAACAATCACACACAGGTGGACTACGGTGTGCATTACCATTTGCGTTCACAATACCATTGGACGCCATTTCGTATGAACGAAGTCACACAACTGTAGTATAATATCTACGTCGGTTCCTCCGAGTAACAAAGTTGATCAAGCAATAGCTAGAACAACAGATTAGACAGTCGTTAAAAAAAAAGAAAAAACAAGACGAAGACCAACACGTGACACAAGGAAGGTAGATGACAGGAAACAGACAACACGACTCAGCAAGACAGGTGTCCCCGAACTCGACTGTAACAATTAAGATAAGTCATGAAGCACAATAGCGAAGAACTGCAGGCGTATGACCCAACCGGTTTCAGCGTTTCGCCTAGCCGCCAACTAGGCTCATCAGGGTTCTGACAATCGGTTGATGGACACACTGACTGCTAGGACTACATAGTAACAAGCTGTACTACATCCAGTCCACCGTCGCTTGAACGGCACACAAAAAAACGGCCTACCACCATCTGAATTGAAACTAATGACCTGGCCCGGGGGTCTACGGGTGGCTCAGTTGGTAAGGTACTCTAACAGAAGTTGCATTCAGGAGGTCGTGGGTTCAATCCCCACTGCAATCACGTACGTGCCTGGGCAAGCTTGGTGTTCTACCAGCTAGAGATAACCCGTTGGCCACCCAAGCCAGCATTGGCAGGACCTTGGCTAATGTCCTGAATCTGGACCTGTTTTCCCACAGATGCAGGCATAGTGCTCTACACTAGCACCACAATGCCTGCCCACCCAGCATTACCGTGATGAGGCTGATACAGCCATGCTCTCGCACCACCCCTGTGGTGCAAACTGACCACGTGGGCTGGGGAGAGATCCGGATTGGTTGGTGTTCCCCAGACTATACATACGTGAGGATGAGATAGATGAGAAAGATGAGTATACAGATAGATTCAATTTGAGAGAAGCATCGTATAGCAGTTTTTAGAATAAAGTAAAATAAAAATAAAAATTATAATGACCTATTTAGTACTCCAGAATCCACGCTCCCTTTCACCCAGCCCTTTTTCTTTCACCTGTTAGCCAATGGCGGGACTTTTCCAATATCTGCGTCCTATTTCAATTAAAAAAAAACATTTTTTTTTTTTTTTTTTTTAAAAGGCCAATTCTTGAAGCCCAACCAATTCAATTACCTGTCGAATCTGGACAGGACGGCCGTTAAGGCCTTTTTTTATTGTCATTATAGTATTACGGAGAACCCCGTAGCAGCCACATCGGTGCTCAAGCCTCCAACAAGGGAACATCAGGGAGCTGCACCCACCAGCAGGTGCCATACCTGCTACAGCGGGTGCGATACCGGCCAGGGGTCAGTCCGTAGCATCAGGACGGAGCTTCTTCTATGGGCCAGTCACTGGACCTCCCCTCCGGTCCCCTCCGGTCCCCTCCGGTCCCCTCCGGTCCCCTCCCCCTATGTACATCAGCAGTCTCTGCTCAATGCCACTCGGGGGACCAAACGACCACAGTAGACAAAGCAAAGCAAAAAAAGAAAAAATAGACCCTGAGGTCAGGCAGCCATCTATGTCCAACCTGCCTCACTACGGGCTTCTAGATGTGTATAAGAGAGCAGTCTCTGCTCAATGCCACTCGGGGGACCAAACGACCACAGTAGACAAAGCAAAGCAAAAAAAGAAAAAATAGACCCTGAGGTCAGGCAGCCATCTATGTCCAACCTGCCTCACTACGGGCTGGCTGATAGGAAGGTGGTGGAAGGTGAGTTGAGAAGAACGGAAAGAAAGAAAAAGATTGATATGTGGACAGCAATCACGGTGGGTCTGGTCCTTCGCCTCTACAACACCCTGGGCTTTTAATTATTATTATTTGTATTATCACCGTGAGTTGAGAAGAACGGTGTTGGCCTCTACAACACAGTGAGAAAAAATAAAATATGTCCTTCGGGACATCCGTTAAAATTGGAACGATA